TCAAAGTTTCAAAATACAGAAAATCCAAAACCTAGAAATGATTCATCCAAATCATAGATTTGTGTTGCTTTGTTTCGTAGCTTGTTCTGGGTTGCAAGATTAAGTCAATGACTAAATTCGTTAGAATGCTGAATAGCAAGCTTGTTATTCCGAATATCTATGTCGTGTTGATTCACAAACACATATGGTGAGTCTGGAATATATCCAATACACACATCTGATGAGTCTTTGTATTTAAATTACAGTCCTGGATTTAGATATGAGATAAAAATTTCGTTTGAAAACAGATTTTAAACAGATGCGTCGTTCTGTTGAATTGTGTGTCACGTCTTTTAAATATAATTGCGAAATCCTAAAATATCCACGCTTTTATTCCGCCACTCAAAATAAAATAAAATAAAAATATTATTGTATCTCGTAAATTAAAACAACGACTAGAGACGTATTCTTAAATGTTCTTTGAATGTGTTGGTGCTCATTTGGAAAGGTCAAATTTAACATCTAGTCTGCGAGTCAATGAGACGCAATTTGAGGGATTGGGCGGGCTGTAGAGTGGTGTCCCGGTTTCCAGTATTCTAGTTAGAACAAACAAACAAACAAACAAAAAGTATGTGCTCTAATAAAGGGCTCGATCAGCTGACCTAAAAAAAACACACTTTACTGCCAAAAGAACATACCTTTTAATAGTGTTTGGTCCCAAAGGTGCGGAGTTTAGGGGATTGGCCAGATTGTGTTACTCCTGCACAAAATAGTAAAAGTTTTCATATTCAGGCAGGAGCCACAATTAGCCATTTTTCAGCAGCAAGTAAGCTTTGTTGAGCCTCCTCATCCATTGCTATGTATAGAACTCGTAATGTGCGCGGAAAAACGGTTTTATATAGCTGAGGAACCGGATCTTGTATGGCGCAACATGAGCGACCACCATCGTGTTTTATGTGGGATTTTGGTTATGTATATGGGTTTCACTCCCCCTAGCTTGGAAACTAGTGCGAATTCGGCCATGCTGGTAGGCAACTAATATTTCATATTTCGAAAGGAGTTCAAGTCTCTATTCAGAATTAAAAAAGAAAAAGAGAGTACCAGAAAGCTTTGATTGGGAATCAACCCACCAAGCATGTCTCCCTGACTCGCAGTTGAAGTAAAGACCTTAAAAATACAAGCTCTAAAACTCACTTGTTCTTGAATTGCAAAATGGTAGTTAATAGCATAAATATAGTTACTGAGACCAATAGAATGGATCGTAAAACAATAGCTACCCGTTTCTTATTGTGTAGTCTGATGATAACAATGGATCGTTTTCTGTATACTGTTTTGATTAATATGTAAAACAATAGCTACCCGTTTCTTATTGTGTAGTCTGATGATAACAATGGATCGTTTTCTGTATACTGTTTTGATTAATATGTAAAACAATAGCTACCCGTTTCTTATTGGGTTGTCTGATTACAACAATGGATCGTTTTTTTTGTAATCTAGTTTGATTAATATGTAAAACAATAACTACCCGTTTCTTATTGGGTAGTCTGATGACAACAATGGGTTGTTTTCTGTAAACTAGTTTGATTAATGTATAAAACAACAGCTACCCGTTTCTTATTGGGTAGTCTGATTATAACAATGGATCGTTTTTTGTAATCTAGTTTGATTAATATGTAAAACAATAGCTACTCGTTTCTTATTGGATAGTCTGATGACAACAATGGATCGTTTTCTGTAATCTAGTTTGATTAATATGTAAAACAATAACTATCCGTTTCTTATTTCTGATGACAACAATGGGTCGTTTTCTGTAAACTAGTTTGATTAATGTATAAAACAACAGCTACCCGTTTCTTATTGGAAATTTCTAATGACAACAATTGATCGTTTTCTGTATACTGGTTTGTTTAATATATCTGATGGAAACAATTAGTTAGGTTGATGATTGCTAAAACTAAGTACGCTAGACTTTATTTTTGTCACTCCTTAGCTTTAACCAAAGTTGAATTTCCTTCCTTATATAAGTTAATCTTGTTACAATCTTAATATCTGTAAAATTTAATTTTCTTAACCATTTACACCAAATTATGCTTCCGACTTAGGAAAGACTGCACAAAGAGTTCTTGTGTCATTAATTTCTTTTTTACTGGATTTCATATAATATTGAATCTAATATTAATAACTTGGGTATACTTTGTTCTAAGTTCGAAAATGTCACATTATATTGTTGGTTATGTTTTTATAAGTTAAAATATTTTTGTTGCTGAGATATTTAAGAAATAATACAAATAGTTCTACAAAAAATAAGCCTTTTCTTTGTTATAAATCATAGCCAAGGGGATTAACCATGTCAGTTTTAGGAGTCGTACTTATTTTGCCATTTTTATTTGCATTTTAAATTATAGTCTTATAATCTTACCATATGGCAACACTCTTATACGTTGTTCTGATACGCTTTTTATTCCCAATACGGCATTTTACTCTGGGTAATGCTTTTGCTGAGCATTAACCAATCAGTCAATGCTTTCACTGTGCAATAACGCAATAACCAATCAGAGAACCGTGTATGAAAATAAAGAGTTCTTACATAAGATTTTAAATAAGTTTAGCAGGTTATTTGTTGTGTGGTCCATATGTGGCGTACATTAGGAGCGTAAAGATAAACAACAACAAAGAAAATGAAAAACAAAAAATAAAGAGCGAGAGACAAAGAACATCTCCCTTGACCACTATTTGTCTGGGATTTGGTAATATCCCCCTGTAGGACAGCGGTAAGTTTACAGACTTACAATGCTAAAATCCGGTTTCGATTCCCAGCGGTGGCTCTAAAGAACAACAACAAAGCTTTGGTAATATACA